TGAAGAGCAGTATATTTGCTCGAAAACTTGCAAAACCAAAATTAAAAGAAACCTTTTACCTGATTTTCCTTTTTTTCTTTTTCACACATATATAAATTAAATAACAAAAAGGCATATATTGGATTTAATAAAATATATTTTTGTCAATATTTCGTTTGGCTGAACGCCAAACCTTTATCAAGGCATTACATTTTTGTATACACAAACTCAGCGCCGCATAGTGTTATAATATAACAACAACAACAAAAGCTTTTATTGAGGACCTCTCGTCCTATATAGGATTCGCCAGTTTACAGAGTAAGAGAAGAGAACTAAGAATACAGAGAGAAACCTATAAGTAGTAGGTATAATATAGTATTTTCTACACTGTGACTATATACAACAGCAGCAACAAGCCTTTTACTGGAATCAAAGTCCCATACAGGATTCGTCATTCTCATCCTGACATAGATTATTTGCATATGATTATTTACATCAATTAGATTATGTATATAGCCTCCTCTTCTCTTCAGCCGTCTTCCAAAATTTGAACAACGCAAAGGCTCCAGCTCTGTTTCTCACCACCTCATTCAACAGGAGCTCCAAAGAGAGTTCCTCGAGGCCTATTTCACTGAGGAGCACTTCTCGCTCGTCTTTCAGCCCCATACATGAGAGTATATGGTGATGTAGCCCCGGCTCCATTCTTGTCCCGCAAATCTCGCATGTCCATCCGTCTGTTTTAAATATTTTGGGGCGATCATTAGCAAAGAGCATCGAGAGGATTCTCAGTCCGGCAATACACCGTTTGACCCGGAGCGGGAAATCGCTGGACAGATAGTGTTCCGGTAACGGAGTTGAGCAGATGTTTTTATAGTGGGGGTAAAGTCTTGAATTTATTATTCTTGTGTGATCCTTTTGCAGAGATTGGTCTATTGCAGTACTGATTATGTAGGGAATTTCTCTTTTTAATGTTCTATAGTCTGTGCAGCAATTCAGCCATTGAAATCCTGTGTTGTTTAAAATATTAACTATACTTCCCGTGAAACCTATATATTTTGCATTTGCGATTTCCCACAGCTGGGACAAGCAGAGCAGCGGCAGTCTAGTTTCACCCATTTCCAGCATTCTCAACCAAAACTTTAAGGTAAGTTTCAAGACTGTAACGCTGAGTGACACTCTTCCCAATTCTATCCTGAGCATGTATCCGGGGGTGTATCTTGGTAGATTTAGATATCTTCGCATAAATGAGTCCTGAAATCGATCAACAGTTAATGTATGCTCATTTGCCCAAACAGGTGCCGCGTATAGCAGGGTTGATAAAACCATCGCGTCAAGAAGTTTCATAGAGGATTTAAGAGAGTTCATCTTCGACCTGGTCAGAATAGGCCATACCGCACCACTGGCCGCGAGGACTTTACCCTTATAGAGTAATCCCTCGTTATCACGAACTCGGATTATACGAACTCTCGGTTTGCGCGAACCGTTTCTTTTCCCCCGTTAAATTTCAATGCTTTCCAAAGAGATTTTGCCGGTTAAGACGAAATATTCGGTTATGACGAAATACGAATTAAATTTAGCCCCAGCAGAACTAATCAATCGGTTAAAACGAATTCTAATATGTTTTTAAAGGCGAGTTATAAGTAAAACAATAAACTATTAAAACAACAAAAACGCCGTTGATATCAAGTATTGGCTCTCTTTGTTTTTTGTGTAAACATTCATCCTTTGTTTGTTATGATGACTCATTTTCGAGTATAATTCGTTCAATAATCGAAGTGTGAATTGTTTGAGCTTCTATAAAAAAAACCTACATAAACATGTCATCTAAACCACGAAAAAAAAGCGCCATTGATCTTGCCATAAAAAGGAAAATTTTGGACGAAGTTGCACGTGGAGTGTTATCTAAGTCGCAAATTGCCGAAAATTTTCAAATTGCGAAATCCACATCATCAACCATTCTAAAAAACAAAGAAAAAATATATGCGGCTGTTGCCTCAGGGTCTTCTAGCTCTTCAAAACGACTTCGAAAAGCATCCCATCAAGACGTGGAAGTTGAGCTTTTAAAATGGTTTGAAAAAGTAGACAAAATAATATTCCTGTATCCGGCGCACTTGTCAAAGAAAAGGCTAAAGAAATAAGTGTCTCATTGGGTGTGGAAAAAACAGCTGATTCGTTTTCACTTCCAGAAACAATGCTTGTTGAGCCTGAAGAATGGACCAAACTCCTTTCAGCTACAAACCCAGCTGAGACTTTGACTTTCCTGGAGTATGTTGCCCTGGATGAAGGGTTGGAAATTTGCGGCTCACCCGAATTAGAAGAAAAGAAGAAAGAAGATGAAGAAACAGAAGACGATGAGGTGAAAGAAGAGATAATGATGCCTACTAGAGGGGAAGTAATCGCTGCCCTCGAAACCCTCCAGAAGCTGTCCAAAACCTCTGCGGATATTGATGTTCATTTTGAAGATGACCTGGATAAAATAAGAAGGGAGTGTCTGAAACAGTGCCCAATCAAATACCACCAAAAACTATAACAGACTTTCTGAAGCCTGCAGAGAAAACCCAGATATAGGATACTCTATGCATACTGCATATGCTGCCTACACATAAACATTGTATGTACCAAGTATATTTTGTAAGTTGTTTCTTTTGTTGTTCTTTTTTATTTGTGTTTTAAAATAAACTTATATTCTCATGTTATTGCCTTACATTGTGATTATTTTATCCATATTGTATTTTAAAATAAAATACTTTATGTACATACATATACATAATTGTTGTTCCTTAAAATTATAAAATATTTTCATTAATATTGTTTTCAAATAAATTTATTCGTTATTTCTCAGAAATGTAGTTTTCTTACTCATCAGTAGTACATAAGTACAACCCCCGGATACCACGAATTCAATTCGTCTAATACGAATTCGGTTTATACGAATTCGGTATATATTCTTTTAAGACGAAAAGGGTATTTCGTTCTCCCGTTGAGTTCGTCTTAACGAGGGATTACTGTAGTATAATGCGGCTTGCTTAAAAGAGTTTGTTGAGGTGAGTGGATATACTAGATACATGTATCTTTCCGTGACATTCAGTGTTTGTTGTCCCCAATACCAATTATCGGATTTTGAGCGCTTCCCACCATTGCGAAATACCATTATTTTTTATTTGTTTTCGTTCAGTGTTAGCATATTTTCCTCAAAATATTTTCGTATCATATTAATTTTTAACTACAAATTGTTCCTAGATTTACCTATCAGTACAATATCATCTGCATATAGTAACAAATGGGTATTTCCATGCTTTGGCAGATAAATACCAGGTATATCCGAGCAGTCAAAAGTACTAATCAGGTCGTTAATAAAAAGTATGAATAAGTAAGGAGATAGTGGTTCACCCTGTGTTATAATATCACAGTTTAAATAATTTTAAAAATACAAAGTAGGTGGAGGAAATTTGTGCATGCAAAAATTATTATAAAAGTTACGATCATAATAATTTAAATATCTTAAAATATTGAAGTAGACAATGAATAATATAGGATAGACCTCATTATTTTTTCTCCTTTAATATTTTAAGATATTTAAATTATTCTGATTGTAACCTTTAGAATATTTTTTGCTTGCACAATTTCCCCCACCTACTTTGTATTTTTAAAATTATTTCAACTGTGATATTATAACACTATGCGGCGCTGAGTTTGTTTATGTTACAAATATATAATGCCTTGATAAAGGTTTAGCGTTCAGCCAGCCGAAATATTGGCAAATAAATCTTTTATTAAATCCAATATACGCCTTTTTATTATTTAAAGAATTAAATATGGATTTCTCTATTTTCAAAATTGTATATATATGTTATTATAAATTTTTGAGATAAACCTTTATTAGCTTGCTTTTTGGAATCAGAGATATAGAATTATTATTTGCTGATTATTGTCTGCAATATTGTTATGATAAATTTGTTTGATATAAAATTTTATTAGGTTGTTTAAAGATACCTGAGTATTATAATATTGTTAGGCACACACCGAGTCATGGTAATTATAATAACCACAGTTTATTCCCAATTTGCTTTAATTGAGTTGATGAAAATAATTAAGGAAGAAATACCTTATTTGAGGCGTAAAGAAGAAAATAAAATATTACATATTTACATATGTACAAAGATTTGAGCCGGTCAACGTTAAATATCTTTATTTACGGAGCTGCTAACCAAAATAGATTATTTTTGAGCCTCAATAAAAGAGCGTTGGCCAACGTTAAACAACAACAATGTGTTTATATAGGGAAAGCCGCGACATCTGGCGATCGACTTTACAGAGTAGTCTATTCTATAAATGATATTTTTAAATTATATAATTTTTATATAACATACATATACACTACAGTACTATGGCTGTCAGTACCATACCTATAGGGCAATAGAGATGCTCTAAGAGCTTACTGTACCAATGACTATGGGGATTATTAAGTATTTCCTTAACTTTTGCCATTTCTATCGTACCCTAGGAAGACAACTATATCGAGAGAAGCAAGAATCGTGTTTCCGGAAAAAGAATGCCATAATCACCTCCCCTTGTCATCCCGCTCTTTTTTCGAGAGCACTTCAAATGAGAAACGCAGAGATTTCTTTGTGGAGTTTCTCGTTGGTTTCTTCACTTCCTCATTGCCGGCTTGCTCTCCATGCCCAAAGTTGTCTGTGTCCCAACCTGGTATTTCAGCGTCTACAGTTGAGAACCTCACACCGTTCCACTCAGTATAATGGCTACATATAGAAGACAAGATGATTGGCTTGGCAGTGGAAAGAACGCATTAAACAATATAATTGTTATGTAAATATCTTCTAATGGTAATCATAATAATAGACCTCTCTCTCTCTTCCTGTACCCAGCAGTTGGGGTGCCGGCATTGCTATTCTGCCTGATTCTATGTACAGCTATCCCAAGATAATACAGAGTTAGAGCATGGTTCTGTTTGTAGGGTAACCTCTCTACATGTCTACACATGAAAACTAGTTCGAATTTTCACTACAATTGTCTCAAATTCAGTTGGGAGAGCGTTAGACTGAAGATCTAAAGGTCCCTGGTTCGATCCCGGGTTTCGGCATTTTTTCTGCTTTTCACATGTGTAGACATGTGGTGCACTTACAGTAAAAGCAATCGCCTTATTTTACCCACCATGATTATAATGACCTGTACCACGTGTACTAGGGATAAGCAAAAAAACTACAATTGTCCCGTTTGCTCATTCCGACAAATGAGAATGGAATAATAGAATGATCCATAACATTATTTTGATCAAAAATATTATTTCATTCGGATGGAGAACGATTGTGCCTCTCTAAACAATAATCTACTACATTATAATACACTGCGGCTTGTGATTGTAAAACAACACTTGAAGTTACCCTGCATGAGTTTCTTTTCAATGAAAAATCAAAATTTTATTTCAAGGTGAAATATTGACTATTTCTAACCTTTTTGGATGAGGTATGAAAGGGTGAATTATGAAGAGTAATGATGAACGGAAAAATAAAAGTGTCCAGGGATGGGAATCGAACCCACAATGTTCCGCTTACCGGGCAGATGCCATGTCCACTAGGCTACCCTGGACGTATTTTTCCGTTTATAAATAATACATAAAGTAACTTATAATAAATATAATACACTGCGGCTTGTGATTGTAAAACAACACTTGAAGTTACACCGCATGAGTTTCTTTTCAATGAAAAATCAAAATTTTATTTCAAGGTGAAATATTGACTATTTCTAACCTTTTTGAATGAGTATGAAAGGGTGAATTATGAAGAGTAATGATGAACGGAAAAATTTTAATAATCTACTACGTAATTAAACATCCTACAGATTCTACCTCAGCAAAGGAAGGATATTCATCTTTTCACCCTCTCTTCTTGAAATGGCCTTTCCAACTCAACAACTTGGTTCTTGCTTTAGATGTGATCGCTAGAGGCACAAAAATCTCTTTTGAGGTCTTTCACATTTTACATAGCATAGGTCTTCTCTTCGAAAGTTCCCTCTATAAAATATTTCACATGTCATTGAATTGCGTTTTAAGTAGTTTTAGAAGATAGTAAAAAGCTTCTTTCTCTCTCTTTCAAAACTTCAATATTTAAACGCAACACAAAGTATCATCTGAATATAAATTTATAAACACTTTGGTGATTAATTAAGAAAAAGGCATCTCCTTATCGTGCAACTGAAAGTTGCTGATAGCTCGCGCCATCTATCGGAATCTATCGGTCTCACGCAATTCTATCCTTAACTACCCATTTCATGATTTTTCAGGATGCCTGAATGACCTTTTTTTAATCGTTGAGGTACAGCTTGCACCACGCTGATGAGGGCCAACAGCCCGAAACGCGTCCGTGGTTAGATTTTCTTGATTAAACAAGAATGGGTATTTGGCCAATTCTGTAATAATTAAAAATCAACGAGAATAGTTGATATTTATTCCGATAGATGGCGCAAGCCATCAGCAACTTTCAGTTGCACGATAAGGAGATGCTTTTTTCTTAATTTACTATTACTATATGTACTATTTTTCACTTTGGTGATAGTTTGAAGCCATTGAAACAATGTCCGCCACTTCCTCATTGAACGTAGCTGGATGGTAAGCTGGAGAAGAAATGACGAAGCTATACAACGGCAAACATTTCCCCATGGTTTCATCAGATCATACAGTGATATAAGTAGACCAGGCAAACACAGAAGACTAAACTGGCGAAACCGATGGGAGGATTCAACACTGACAATGGTCAGGTGCTACCGATGTTTTCCTACTCTAGATAGGGTTCTCTCTTTTAGTATCATACTAGCCGAATGACCCGGGCAACGCCCGTGTTTTACCCGATTAATTGTTTTTATTCAAATACTATTCGTTACAATTATAAATTGGCGCCGTGGATGTCATTCTTGTGAAACGTCCCGCTCCAAACTTTGTGTCTGAGAAGCGATATTTTTATAGAGAAATTATCTGGCATTGTGTCTTCTGCTCGAATGAATGTTTTTCTGTTAGAATTTTGTTCCTGCATACTAAAAATGAAATGGCTTCACCCGTGGTTTCTGTTTTTTGGAATTTTTCCGGATATAATTTTGTATCTGATAATCAAATATGATACAGCAATATTGTCATCATCCTTTTCTGACTAAAAAACAACTATTTTTGCCCAGAACATGTCAATTTATATTTTTCTTGGCTAAAAATGCGACAAATATCTCTTGCATATTTTTCTCATATGTCCTGTTAAAATACGTTTTACATGTACATTAGGTCAGCTGATATTATCTCCCATCTTCACTGCTAGAGGCGCTGCTTGCGAGCGAAAGGGCAAATTTGCAAATAACTCAAAGAATATTCGGGATAGAGACCTGAAATATTCACTATAACTTTACCCAGATTCTACTCTATATACTGTTAAAATTTCAGCCAGTTTAGTTACGTATTGTGGGCGTGTATAGTCGACAAACATACATACATATACTTTTATATATATAGGGATGGCGCGATATTTCTAGGAACTTCAGGGGGGTGAAAGAAGACAAAATCCTTTATTGACTTCGAGTCAACGGTTAAAAATGAAAAGAAACAAGCAAACTCATAATACAAAGCAATAATGCACCATCTATATATAACAAATGAAAACATTAAGACGTGAATGCTTCTTTTCACAAATAAATCAAGCTTCTACTGTCCTTACTGCGATGAAAAAATATTGGGAAGGGTTGGCTAATCAGTGGTGAACCCTCCCAGCGGTTTCGTCAATTTAATCCACCAGACTGCTTCTCTTTGAAGCTCTAATACTGTATTGGATCATTCTGCTTATAAATGCTACACTGGAGGGTGGAATCTTCGAAATGGCATTTAGGCAAACTATGGACATAAGATTTTAGCACATGGACATAAATATTTGTGAAAATAAACATAGACGTCTTAATGTTTTTCATTTGTTAAACACATAATAGTATTTCATGATGAAATTGTGAAAAATGTTCAAAATTACAAAATATTTCCTCACAATGGAGTTTCTTTTTATTTTAAATTGCTTTCAAAGCGATAATCGCTCTTCAACGGACTTATAAATACAGCTATCCCCCGATTTACACGGTAGATACGTTCCTGAGAAAAACGTGTAAATCGAAAATTAAAAATTTTAAAAAATTAGAAATACAGACACAGTGTGCGTGTGCAGCAAGTCAGCACATAAGCTCGGGATTCCTCGTGAGATGTGTACACAGCGCATGTGTTCAATCACAGTAGCATTTAGTATAGTGCGATAAAAACAAACAAAAAAAAAACTTATTTGGAAAACCGTGTAAAAGCGAAAACGTGTATAACAAGTACCGTGTAAATCGGGGGATAGGTGTATTACATATCAATTTAAAATTTCAGTTGTAAATATCCACGCTGCGCGCGTTTTTATTTGTAAATATTTCTTGTAGGATATAGTCGATGTTTTATTAAGCCCATTGAAGAGCGATTATCACTTGAAAGCTAGCAATTTGAAAAAAAAAAGAAACTCATTGTGAGGAAATATTACATAATAGAAATCATATACTAAAGGATGATGATAATATTTAAACATTTCTTTAGTAATGAAAGGATTTAAAAGCACGAATGTTTCTTTTATACATAATACAAGTTTCTACTGCCCTTACTGCAATGAAAAAAATATATTGGGAGGGCTTGGCTCATCAGTGGTGAACCCTACTAATATATTTTTTCATTGCAGTATGGTCAGTAGAAGTTTGTATTATATATAAAAGAAACATTCGTGTTTTTAAATCCTTTCATTTTATATGTATAGATGGCGCGTTATTGCTTTGTGTTAATTTCTTTAGTAAGGGAGGCTTCTCTACCTTGAGAGAGTTCTCCACCAGACGGTATATATTGTAAGCTCAGAACTATGGTCTGTTATAAAAAAGATAGAAAACCCTTTTGAAAAATCAGTTCCAAAATTATAACTATGCCATTAAATCTTTCTATACTTCGGCGTTTATCTTCGATGTACCTTCCGAAAATTACAGCTATACACATATATATATTTATGGATGTAAATATTTCCGGGAGGATATTGATCTAAAGAGACAAAGGTCGCCTCTCCCGTCAAAATAGACGTCAACACTAGACACCATCTATTGACGCGAACTAACGGCCTCGGGTCGGTGACAAAGCCACAATACCAGCTTTGGCAAACTGAAAAGCGTCCACCTAGAGACCATGGTTTTGGGCTAATGGCCCTGGTCAGCCTAGGGCGGACTTTATTCCATGAGATCCATGGGTCCGCGTTAGGCTGAGGAGGGCCATTAGCCCGAAACCATGGTCTTTAGGTACTATATATAATATAGTAGAACCTTCCTTTAGCGGACACCTCTCTACAAAGAACAGTTTTCATTTGCAAAATTACCATTTTTACTATTTAGCAACTCTCCAGTAAGAGGACACCTCTCCCTAAAGGACACTTTGGTTCTGTAATGATGTGTTGTCCTTTACAGGGAGGTTCTACTGTATATATAGAGTATAGAAGAGGTTTCTTTAAATGTGCTTTGTCAGTGTTTAATTCAACTTTAAAGATATATTTTATCAAATGAATATAATAAATAAAATGTGCCTTCTTTATTGAATCAAATGCTATGTATTATGCAAATTCAAAATAGTTCATTTAACACAAGTTCTTATATATTTGCACATAAGTTCTTATCAAACCCTGTTCAACGTTATAAATTTGATTTTGATAGGTTTCCCCAACCCTAGACACTTTATTTTTCCTCTTATCATTACTCTTCACAATTCATCCTTTCATACTTCATCCCTAAGGTTAGAAATAATCGTTAATTCTCCTTGAAATAAATTTCGATTTTTCATTCAAAAGAAACATCATTTGCGGGATAATTGTCAAATAAATCTAATAAATATACGATTGTTAATCAATACATTTTAAACCTAAGGTATGTCTGCAAGGAATATCTATCGTTGGTTCGCTTTCAGGTTAAAAAATATTATCAGTAAAAGCCAAAACTGGCCGTATCACAGGAGCTGAAACTGATGAAGACATTGAAATTACTAGAATGGTTTATTATGAGTGATAG